AGGACAGACACACACTGCACACAGCCCCACTGCAGAGCCCAGCACAGGACAGACACACACTGACACAGCCCCCCTGCTGAGCACAGCATAGGATAGACACACACTGCACACAGCCCCACTGCAGAGCCCAGTGCAGGACAGACACAGACTGCACACAGCCCCACTGCAGAGCCCAGTGCAGGACAGACACACATGCACACAGCCTCACTGCAGAGAACAGCGCAGGACAGACACACACTGCACACAGCCTCACTGCAGAGAATAGTGCAGGACAGACACTGTACATATTATGTTCTAGGTCACTGTGTACAAAACTGACCTTACACCCTGTCAGTACATGAGCAGATGGCCTTTCTGGTAAAGATAAACAGAACTCATTCTACACAGATCAGCATGTAGGTGTATATCTGTAAAAACTGTTGTGTAGACAGATTTATAAATATCTTAGAATACAATTGGCATGTAAATGTATACACTACATCTTTAATATATGGGTCATCTTGTAGCAAATAGTGCCCTCTAGTGACATCAAGTAGAACTGCCCATTTTCACTCGTGCTTTTGTTTTGTTGGAAGCTAAAGGTTTCTGAAAGTTTTACAATTATTCATCTTTAAAACTTGCCACTTCTCTCCCTCTCTGCCTGTCCCTCCCTGCTCCTCTCCCTCTCTGCCTGTCCCTCCCTGCTCCTCTCTCTCTGCCTGTCTCTCCAGTCCTCTTCTGCTGCAGGTCAAGAGTCTGAAGGAGGACCTCCAGAAAGGTCGGTGCTGCAGTGGGTGTGGTCTGGGGTGGGATAGATGTGAGACGTGTCAGCCCTGATGACCCTGTGGGAGTGCCAGTTCTCTGCAGGGAAGGTCTCAGTGTGGGTCGGGGGCAGAATTGGGGTGTGTGTTGTGCCTGTTGCACCCCCTGTCTGCCGATAAGGGTGATTGTTCTCTGCTCAGTGTGACGGAGGTGAAGGCTTGTGAGGACTTAAGTTACAGCCTGCCGCCTCTGGATAGCGCTGCACTGTCTTTCAGAGACCATCAGCGTAGACCAGACCGTCGCCCAGGCTTTCAAACTGCGGGCCTACCAGGATGTCTTCGTCAATATCGTGGATCCTAAGGTACAGCCAGGCCAGGGGTCGCTGGGTCACTGCTGGGCAATCTGCAGCACTTGTAAGGAGTCAGGGACCAGCCCTGTCCTGTAGTGAGCCATAGTTTGGGATTGTAGAAACTGGGTTCAATTGGTCTTCTGTCGAGCACTTGAGTTCAGCTGTAGGTGCTGACAGCACAGCGGGCTCTGAATGTGCAGTCAGGGAAGTAGGAGGCTACGGCAGGCGCCCCCTGTGGGCCGGTGTGGGCAGCGTGGCGTCTCTAACTGGGAGTGGTCTCTGACAGGATGTGACCCTGGACCTGGTGGAGCTGACCTTTAAGGACCAGTACATCGGGAGAGGGGACATGTGGCGCCTGAAAAAGAGCCTGGTGAGTGTGCGCGGGAGTGCGCATGAGGGGGTGTGCCCATGTGCAAAAGAGTGTTATAAGAGAATGTGAGGGAGTGCACAAGTGTGCGGGGGAGTGAGAACAAGAGAGCGTGCCAGTGTGGAAGAGTGTGTGCGAGAGGGTGAAAGGGAGTGCGCAAGTGTGTGAGGGGGTGCACAAATGTGTGAGGAAGTAAGTGCGAGTGTGTAAGAGAGTGCGAGGGAGTGAGTGTGAATGAGAGTGTGTGAAAGTGTGCTCTAGTGAGTGCGCGTGCAAGGGAGTGAGAGAGACTGAGCTCCAGGAGGTTGGCCGTCGTGCCCTGATGTCTCCTCTGTGTCCAGGTGAGCACCTGCGCCTATGTGACACAGAAGGTGGAGTTTGCTGGGATCAGGTAGGGCTCCTGCCTCCTCTGTCCGTGCTGACTCCTCTCTGCCTCCTGCGGCGAACAGGGTGGGTTTGAGCTCCTCTCTGTGTGTGTGGCGTAGGGCCCAGGCCAGCGAGCTGTGGGTGCGAGGAGAGAAGGTGACCTGTGGCTACATCAGTGAGGACAGCCGGGTGAGTCGCCCTGCTCGGGCTGTGCTGATTGAACTGTTGTAGCAGAAATTCAGAAACTGACGCAGGAAAATTCCTGGAACTCCACATCAGCCTTTTGTCCAGATCAGGTCAGGGCTCCTGCTGTTGAGGTCCAGGCTGCTGTCCCAGAGCTGCAGCAGAGACAAGACAGGTCTTAGAAAATGAAGAGAGGCACCATTCAGCCGCTGTGGCCATTCTTAGCTAACTGAGCCCAGGAGCTCATCCAGCCTTCCTGAAGGCAGCCAGGGGACCGGCTTCAGCAGCACCGCTGGAGGCTCGATCTGAAGACTCGCTTGGTGGGGTCTCTTGTTCAGTCTCTCCTCCCTCACTCTCTCCAGGTGGTCTTCCGCTCCACCTCTGCGATGGTCTACATCTTCATCCAGATGAGCTGTGAGATGTGGGATTTCGATATTTACGGTGAGGTGTAGAATCCCTCCATTCTCCCACTGTGTCAGGTGTGCGTGAACTGTGTGTCAGGTGTGCGTGAACTGTGTGTCAGGTGTGCGTGAACTGTGTGTCAGGTGTGCGTGAACTGTGTGTCA